GTTTGGTTACTTTCTATTGACTTATCTTCAAGCTGACAAATTCTCTCTTTAGCAGTGCTGTCTACTAATGAACCCATTCAAGGCATTCAATTCTGTTATGGTTTTTTTAAAAATCTCTTTTAATTGTTTCTTAGTTTCTGTCACTTTGCTGATGGTACTCATATGTTCTTGAATGCATTGTTTTTCCCATTAGAGTCTTTAACATATTAGTAACTGTTATTTTGACTATTTAAATTCCCTGACTAATTTTAACTGGGTTATAACAGTCTGGTTCTAATTGCTTTGTCTTTTCAGACTTTTTTTTAAATTGCCTTTTATAATGCTTCATAATTTTTTTTTGACAGCTGGGCATATTTTTAATAGGAACCGAGGTAAATAGCCCTTCAGTGTGAGAATTATAGTTTCATAAATTGTGTCCTGTGATTGCTATAATTGCGCATGCTAGAGGTTTCAGTTCTATTGTCTTTATTTTAATGTCTTTGGGTTTCTCTAAGTACTTTTCCTTGGGGACTTTGTGTCTTGAAGTTCTTAAATCTGTAGAGCTTGTTTGTCTGATAGTAAGAGTTGTGCATGTGTGTCTATGTGTGTGTCAGAAATGGCATTCTATGCTTTTTTTTTTTTGTACCAGCGATCGAACTTGGGACCTTGTAGTTGCGAGGCAGGAGGTGGAACCACTGAGCTAAATCCCCAGCCTGGCATTCTATAATTTTTGATTAAATTTCAGTCTTTCAATGGGTGTATGTCTGGGATTTGTGACCATTTCAATTATTTTCTTTAGTGCTGTAGGATTTGTCCTTCCAACCTGCTTCCGGAACTGGTTGAAGTATCCCCAGTCCATTTTCTTGAAGCTTTGATCTCTTTTGCCTTTCTCTACCTCCTTTTTCTGCTGAGACTGGAGAGGATTGGTAATGAGAGGAAGTTCTTTTTACCAGTTGGGATAAAGCTTTGGCAAAAATTTTCTCTTGAAGGATAGCCCTTTGTTATAGAGAAAGTTCTTGCTATAATCCTCTTTCTCTCTACCTGCCAGAGTTGGATATTCTCTATGAAAACATGGTGAGTTTGCCTGAGGTGAAATTATTCAAAATGTGATCTCTCCCCCAGGAGTTCCTGTTCTCTGGCTCTTCTGCACTTACCACCTACCAATACATTAGGGCTCTAGTAGCTCTTGCTTCAGACAAACAGGTCTCAGCTTCTGTGTTTCTGTTTAAGAAAGGGGACTTAGATATTTGGCATCTGCTTTTTCTTTCTTTCCATATCTCATTTTATATCACTGTCTATAATGTAGTAATCATAGCCTCCTTACTGTTCCTTAGGAAGTTTTTTCTTATACTTGGCCTTTGCATTTGCTGTTTGTTTTCTTGAAGTTCTTTTCTGCTAGTTCTTTCTAGAACTGACTCATTCTTATTAAACCTGAGTATGAAATAGGCCTGTATTACCTATGGCATTCTCTTCATCTTTGGATTGCAGTACATGATCCTGACTTATTATCTTTTGTATTTTCTGTTTCTTCCGCTAGAATGTTAGGAAGACAGAAACTAGAGTGGCTGAACTCACTAATAGAATTTCTGGTGTATAGTGGGGACTTACTAAGTATGTATTGAATTCATGAATGAAAACTGGTAACTGAAGGAGTCAATAATATAAAGATTAAGAGACTAAGACCCTAACATGGGAAATAATTTGCTGCAGTTAGTGAGCTGTAATATGAAAGTGGCAGGGGCAAAGGTATATTGAGCATAGTGAGCTGTGGCAGATAGTTTGGATTTTATTTGACTTGTATTGAAAAAGTTTTAATGTGGAGTCTTATTTCAGTCTGATTTATTTCTCCTAATTTTTTTGGCACCCTATGAAGAGTAGATTGAAGGAGTGAAGGTTGGAATGTAGTAGATAAAACATTATTTGGATTAGTTTGTAGTAGTGGACATGATAGAAAATGGGTAGATGTGGGATTTATTGTAGAGGTGGGGCTGACCATGACTTGCTGATGTCAAGAGTGAAAAGTGAAGGTGAATAAATGATGACATCTAGGTTTTTGATTGGAGTAACTCAGTGAAAAATTGTGTTACTTATTGAAATGGGAAATAGGAATGAGGAGATTGAAGGAGACATTAGACATGCTGTTTTGGTCAGTTTTACTTTAGATACAGTTAAGACTTTTATTTGGAAATATAGAGAATTGGATTCTAAATTAGTGAATTAGAGGAGACATTTGAATTGAGAGAAAAATTTGGGAGACTGTTAGCACATATACACATTTGCCATTTTAATTCATGACAGTGAAAGATATTGCTTAGTTTATGGCAAGGGAAAAGAAAGTCCAGCATTTCAAAGTCATGTGAAGGAGTCATGGCCTGAGCACTTGGAGAAAGATTTGCAGCAGAGAGACATCTGGATTTTGTGGCACACTGTCAATTGAAGATGCATGGTGCATCCTAGAAGAATAAACACACTGCTGACTGACACCGTGCATTTCTGGAAACAACCACATGCAAAGTGAGACAAACCTGAGGAGACAGATCTGTGTGCTTGAATTGAAGGCTTTAAAGAAGAAAAGGTAGTTTTATGTGTAACAAGTAAATGAAGATATCTTGGGTATTTTGATAAAGTTGGAAAGTTTAAAAATATAAATTGAAGTTGGAAATATATTTTTGGCAGTGTTGTCACTGACACCTAGTGGCAATATAGTATATTGCAGTCTCACTTATTTGTGGCAATGGTGACCTATTTATTTTTTTATTGAGTTAGTTGGTACTTTTTAAGTGTACAGTACAGTTACAGTCATCATTGGGATCTTGTAAGTTTACATGACAGATCTTGGTTCTCATATTTTCCCCATACCTCTGACCTCCCTTCATCCCCCTCCCCTATTTACAAAGACTTTGTTTCCATTTTTTACTTTTCTTATATTTTTTCTTTTCCCTTGTTTACTTTCCCCTACCCTTCCCACTCCCCCTACACCTTTAGCCCTTTTCTTCCTATTTCACATTATCAGTTATACAAAAGTGACATATTTAGATCCTGATCCCCTGGAGATTTTATGCCTGAACTTACTGTGACTATAGGACTTGTGTTTAGCCAACCTGTTTGTCCTGCCCCTTTATCACATAACCCATTTGTCTCTGTAGAGATTGCTTATTATATAGTTCTTTTTCTTTTTTAAAACAGGTTTTCGCTTATATATTTACATCTCAGAGAGTCTTTTCCTGCCACCTTAAAGTTATCCCTATACTCCTCACAATTTCCCTGTCATGTTAACCTGTTTTATATTCTCCACAACCTTTAGAGTCATTTGAAATTGGCTTTTTTTTGTCTAGTTTCTTGTTTCTTTCCTCATCACTTTGTAAGCTTTAGTACAGCAGGCTACCCACCTGCCTTACTTACTTGTGTAACCTCTGGGCTATGTGCAGTATCTGTCCATAGGATGTATCTTCAGTCAAAATTATTTGTATGAATATGTGGACCTCTGGAAAGGGTAGGGTGTTGATTTTCTGTGAGAGTAAAGTAGAAAACAGAATTGAATTTGATTACTGTTAAGGCTTATATCTAGATGTTCCCCCCGAAAGCCTCAGGTAATGATAGGTGGGGCTTTTTCAGAGGTGGCTGGATCTAGAGTGTGGGGCCGAAATCCAGGATTTGTAATTACTAAATTAGCCCACTGATTGGTTTGGGATAGTTCTGTGTAGATTATGGGAAAGCCCCCTCTGGGTGTGAGTGCTACCCACCTTAGGTGTGTAGCCTGGATAGAATATAAGGGACAGAGTTGGGCATGATGGTGCATGCCTGTAATTGCAGCACTTGGGAGGCTGAGGCAGGAGGATCTCTGTGAGTTCGAGACCAGCCTGGGCTACATAGTGAGTTCCAGGTCAGTCTCAGCTACGTAGTGAGACCCTGTCTCAAAACAACAACAACAACAACAACAACAACAACAACAACAACAACAACAGCAAAACAATATAAGGGACAGAAAGAGTACTGCGGGGGTTGCTTGTTGCTTGCTGTGATGCTGCTGTCTGCCCTGCTTTGCCATGGACTGTTTGTCCTCAGTGATGCCTCTCTGCCATGCCACTCTGCCTTAGAGCCAGCCAACTATGAACTGAAATCTCTACAGACTGTGAGCCAAATAAGCCTTTTCTCTCTCTCTCTCTCTCTCTCTCTCTCTCTCTCTTTTTTTTTTGGTACCGGGGATCGGACTTGGGTCCTTGTGCTTGCAAGGCAGGTGGCAGAACCACTGAGCTAAATTCCTGGCCCAAACCTTTTGTCTCTTAGGGTGTAGGGTATTTTGTCTCAGCAATGAGAAAAAGTAAGATGATTACCAAAACTTTTTTTCTGTGGAGAAATATGAGCCCCCCTTTTGTGTTGATAAATGTTAAAATGTGTTGAAGAGAAAAGATACATTCTGTTTTAGTCAAGTTATGTGACCTGAAAAAATATTTAAAGGTATAGTACTTGATATTAAGGAGATAAGATTTTTGAAAGCATTTGGATTTAATAAAGTGATTGATCATTTGAAAAAAAAAACAGGGTTTTGTTATGTTGCCCAACGATGCTCTTACCCCAGCCTCCCAAGTATTTGGGGATACCAGGAGTATACCACTTCACCCAGCAGAACGTGTGTGTGTGTGTGTGTGCATGCACATATGTGTGCATATGTGTGAATTTGTAGATGTTTTAAGTCTCATGCTTATTTCCTTATTCAAAACAGCAAAAACACTATTTTAAAGGGAAATAAGTGAGCGAGTTAGAGATAAATTTGTTTGGTTGAGATATGGTTTAGTTTGTATGTCTTTCTGGGAACAATATGGTTGTTTCAGTCTGGAAACTCAGAGTGAAAAAGAGTACATTTCCATCATGTGGCCCAGTCTAAAGGAAGTAGCTTTTCTAATTTTGAAATCATGATTTAGCAAGTAGCATTCTTCTTTGTATTAACCATTTTTAAAGCTTCATTAGTTCATATTCTTAATTAGTTTAGGTTTTTAATCTATTTTTTTTAATCCTTATAGATTTGGCAGGTGGATGTGGGAGAGAGAAGTTTGCAGAACTGAAATGGAGGTTGGAGCTTCATTACAGAAAGTTCATGGGTCATCTGATTCTGTGGCTGCAATGAACAGTGAAGAATTTGTTTTGGTTCCTCAGCATGCAGATGATACTTCTACAAAAGGCGATGAAAAACCTCAACTGAAGGTATCTTTCTTTTCTAATATGGTGCTATGTTAAGTTATTTTTTCTTTTAAACTATTTGAAGCCTATCTTAGTAGATGTATAAAGATGTAAGGGTTTTCTCAAGTACTGACTTTTAAAATAAAATCAATGTTTGATATAGCCAGAGTGAATATTTGATTTGAGTATTTTTAAAGCTTCTTACTTTTGATTATTTATCTTTAATTCATCCTCATTTATTTACAGAGGCTTTGTGCTACACCTGCTTTTAAGAAATAGAAGGAAAAATAGAAAAGAAAAGGCAATTACCTGATAAAGCTTGATTTGTTAAATCTTACATAAATTTATCTTGTGTTTTTTTCCCCTTTTCTGGGATTTAGAAGTTAATTACATACAAGTTAAGTTTTTCTTTCACTTCTGAAACTTTTTTCCATTATGATTTTTATATTTAAATCATCTGGTAACATCCTGTTAAGTTATTTTACATGTGACTTTTGTCTACATATTTTTTAAGTATGTACCTTATATCTTTGGCAGGGGAGTTTTCATTTAGATATGGTCTTTTTTCTTTTTTCCATTTTTTGGATTGCCTTTCTTAATTCAAAGAAAAAGAAGCGAGAAAGCTTAAGTATATGTGCATGAGAGTTGTCCTCTAGAAGCAGGAGTAGAAAAATCGGTTAAAAAAAAAGAAAAATTAATCAAAAATACTATGTTTTATGTATGATTTTTACTTAGTGTTAAATATGCAATATTAACATGTCAGTATAATAAAATGTGTTGTGAAAATGAGTATTACATATCTTTTAAAATGAGAAAACAGTCTTATTATTCAAATGATCAATGGCTTTATTTTAGATATCTGCAGTTTTAGTATTATTGTGTTTAAGCCATTTATTTGCTGAGGCTTTGTTCTATATCTTTTTCTAAGAAAAGTTAAGTCAACTTTTTATTTTTTTTAGTTTTTGAGAAAAGGTCTCACTGTGTAGTTCAGGCTGTTCTTGAACTCATAGCACTCCACCTGCCTCAGCCTACCAAATGCTGGGATTACAGGTGCATGCCACCACACTTGGCTAAGTCAATTTAAATTTATAAAAAGAAAAACAAACAAAAATGCCTCTGTAAAGAAGGTCTTATTTCAAATGTAGTTGAAACCTACCTGAAGTATTTTATGAAGAATCTTTTTGTGATATTCTATCCTTTAGTTGGTTTTGGTATTCAGGATTTTAGTGTGTTATATCTCTGTAACATTAGGTATAACTACCTGAGTTCTTAGTACACAATAACTGTATATTTAAATAGATTCTTCAAACTGAGAATGAAACATTTTTCATAAATTGTGTAGTATAATAAGATTGAAGCAGGATTGTTTTGTTTTGTCTATAGATAGTTTCTAATGGGGATGAGCAATTGGAAAAGGCCATGGAAGAGATTCTGAGAGATTCTGAGAAAGGGCAAAGCAGTCCTCTTTTTGAATGTCAGAGTTCCAGTGAGATATCAGACCGTTCCATTGGAGATGTTCCAGCCAGCCAAATATATAAGCCATCTCTTCAGTTAATTTTGGATCCATCTAACACAGGTATTTTATTTAACTCCTAGAAATCATAAGGAAATGGGGTAACATGATAATGAAAGTTTTAAGTTGAAAATTAGATAACCCTTAAATTTTTATTTTTTAATTTTAAGATCAGGGCCATCAGGCTTTCAGTTCTGGTTGAGAGTTAACACTTTAGTTCTTGTGTTTTTGCCCATGTGTCTACTTGAAAATCAGGTGTCAATGTTCTTTTAGAATAAAGACTCTGCCTAGGTTCTTATTTTACCCTCAGCATTTGGAACATGGTAGGTCCTTGATAGTTACTGTACAAATCAATAAATTCTTAGGCATCAAAATAGTGTACTAGACAGCCTTTCTAACTGTTATGTGTTTTTTCAGTCATATTACTCATAACTTTTAAAATATAGGTTAAAAAAAGTATAGGTTAAAAATTCTAAGGAAAATTACATGTCAGCTCCATCAGTGTGTGTATGTGTGTGTGTGTTTGTGTGTTTGAGAACAAGGTCTTGCTCTGTAGTTCAGGCTGGCCATGAACTCCCTGTGTAAGTCAGCAGGCTGGCCTTGAACTCATAACAATCCTCCTGCTTCAGCTTCCTGAGTGCTGGGATTATAGGTATGCACCGCCATGCCTGAGTTCCATTTGGTGTGTGTGTGTGTGTGTATATATATTTAAAATTAATGTTATTGGTACATTTAAGGTATACAATATGACGACATTCATCGTTGGAAATTTGCACCTTTACATAATCCATCTTGGTTCTTATTTTTTCCCCATTCCCCTGCCCTCCCTTTAACCCTTTACCCTTCCCTATCTACAAAGACTTTCCATTTTTTTCTTTTTCTCATATTAATTCCATTCCCTTCTTTCTTTACCCCTACCCCTCCCACTTCCCCTTCCTCTTTGTACCTTTTCTTCCTATTTCACATTATCTATTATATTGTTTAGTCCTTATTTATATGTTCAGTTTCTCACACTAGTGAAACTAATCAGCATTTACATGTATGTGTCTTATTTATTTCACTTGAGTATCACCTCAGTGTGCATTCATTTAGCTATAAATGTCTCTAGTTTCTCATTCTTTATGGATGAGTAGTACTCCAGTTTATAAAAAAAAACCACATTTCTTTTTTTTTTGGTACCGGGGATTGAACTCGGGTCCTTCAGCTTGCAAGGCAGGCCACTGAACTGCTGAGCTAAATCCCTGGCCCAAAAATCACATTTCTTTATCCAGTCTCCTGTTGATGGGTAATTGGGCTACTTCCAAGTTTTAGCTATCGTGAATTATGCTGCTGTGAACATGGGTGCCCATATATCACTGTGGTATGATACTTTTAATTTTTGGGGGACGATAACCAGTAGAGGGATAGCTGGGTCAAATGGGACCTCCATTCTTAGTACTTTGAGGTATTGCCATACTGATTTCCACAGTGGTTGCACCAGTCTGCATGCCCACCAGCAGTGGAGCAATGTTCCTTTTTCCCCACAGCCCTGTCAGCATTTGTTATTGGTTGATTTCTTCATACATTGTTGTCTGATTTTTGCCAGGCCTTCAAGTCTGGCCTTGCTAAAAGTGTTTTTTTCTGTTTGCCTGCTTAACTCAGTATTTTCACTCATCATAATCTGATAATTACCATGAGTTTTGTCTATATGAAGGTTTCAGTTAATCATACATTTAGTTGTGGTTGGGATAGAATTAAGGCAGTGCCCAGGACTGCATGTATTTGTTAGGTTACCAATAGGACCATTAGCTCTATTTAATGATTAGTTCATTTTATATGTTTTGAATGTTCAGTCTTTGGACACTCTCAACTTCTGGTAATACAAAGAGTCTAGAACAGTTTCTACCCTTAAAGAGATGTATATTCTTTGCTACTAATTCATCTTATTGAAGCCTCTGTAATGTTTAAGGCATGGTATTGAAGCCTCTGTAATTGTTAAGGCATGGTATCTGGAGTTCAGAGTGAGATTTGAAAACCACCTGTACCTTGCTTTGATTATGTGGCTGTGGGTAAGTTACTTTACCTCTTAAATGTTAGCTTCTCGATGTGTAAAACAGAGATGAAATTCAGTTTACATCATAGACAGGTAGGAAGATTAAATGATACCATCCATATATTATAAAATGCTTGGCACAAAATAAGTACCTAAAAGTCTTTATCATCATCATCATCATCATCATCAGACGCTTTGAACCTGAAAATAAATATGACATAAAATTGTAGGTATAACCCTAATACAGTAATTGCAACACATCTGCTTTTTAATGGATATGGGGGCAGAATGTAAGCCCTTCATCTCCACTGAAGCACCTTGGTAGAACCCCCAGATTTCTTGGAGCAGTATCTTTGAAAAGCCCTTGATGTACTACTGATGAAATAGCTGAGGTCCAGAGGTTAAGTGGCTTATGGAGGCTCATACAGCTATTTTGTGGCTGATATGGGATTATAAATAGTCTTCCCTGCAATCCAGTAGAATAAATATTGTATATATTAAGAAAAATGTGGCATATTAAAAATAGCCAGCTTTTCCTCTGTTGCAGAAAATGCATGTCCTTAAAATAAAGCTGTATAAATTTAATTTATTCTCTATTTCCAATATTGTTTAAAATCTATTTTACAGAGTTGTAAAATAGTACTTGCTTTTTTTTTTTAGTGAGCATAATTATTTTGAGATTTGTCCGTGTTGATGTATGTACCAAAAGTTGATCCCTTTTTTTTGCTGAGTAGTATTCTGTTACATGGATATGTCATATTGAAGGTCTGTTTGTGTTTTTTCCAGTTTTGGGCTGTTACCAGTAACTTAGTTGCTTTCCTGTTGCTGGGACAAAATACTCACCACCCACAACTTAAAGGAGAAAAGGTTTATTTTAGCTCACAGTTTGTGAAAGATTTTAGTCTCTACTCGGCTGGCTCCAAGGCAGGGGGCAGCATGGCAGACATGGTATCTGGAGTTCACAGCTGGATTTGAACTCACCTCTACCTTGCTCTGACTATGTGGCTGTGGATAAGTTATGTAACTTCTTAAAGAGGGACATGGCAAGCAGAAAGCAGTGGGCCTTTCTTCTTTCTTTATTCCATCCAGGCTACAAGCCTACTGGTTGACGCCACCCACACCCAGGGTGAGTCTTCCTTTTTCAGTAAGCCCATTTTTAAGTTTTAGACATTTTAGTAGGTGTGTAACCCCAGCTGGCCTTCAACTTGTGGCGACCCTCCTGCCTCAGCCTCCCAAGTGCTGAGATTACAGGTGTGCACTACTTTGCCCAGCTCTGATGTCTTCTAATACAATTGCTATAACTTTTACAATTAGTATGTTTCTATTTTTGTGATTTTAAAAACTATTTGTGTTTTTATATTGAAAGCTGGGTTCTATAAATAGCTTCTGTTTCATCTTGGGCTTTTTTGGGAGATAGGGAGGAAGGACAATTCGACAATTTCTGTTTTGGTATGTTTAGATCATTTACATTTAATATGTTAATATAGTTGGTTATGGCTATTGTTTATCCTTTTTAAAAGTTTTATTTAATTTTTATTAGTACTTGTTTGCAAGTCATGCAGTTTATGGTCATCTTGGGGAGAGTGATTTACATGCACGTATTCCATCTTTTTTTAAAATCTTTTTTTGTTTTGTCTTCCAACTCCTTTTGGATTATTTGAACAATTATCCAAAAGTATTTTGACTTTTTAAATATTTTTTATAAGTTATAGAATATACACCTAAATTTTCACAATCTATTCAGAGATTTTTTAACCACTTCAAGTAAGATGTGGAAGCATTATAACAATACATGAACCTTTATTCTTCTATATTGATATATGTATTACATTGATATAAGTTGAAAACTCTCAGACACTAATACCGTTTACTTTCAGCACTCATACATGTTTTAAAGGGTTTGTGAGGAGGAAGATGTTCACTTACTTGCTATTTCTTTTGTGTTTGGGTCACTCTTCATGTTCTAGATTGTCTTTTGATGGTGTTTTTCTTCAGCTGAAGAACTTTCTGTAGTGTTTCTTTTACAGCACATCTGCATATAGTGGATCGTCTTCATTTTCATTTATGTGAAAATGTAAAAAATAAATCGGGATTCCTCCAAATACTCTGTGTCTTGTAGGGACTAATTTTTTGGTCTTTTGGCAATAAAGATTGAATTTCCTTCACACAGTTTTATTGTTCACTGCACAATTCTGCAACTTGGCTACTTTTAGGTCAAAGCTAGGAGATAAAGATAAAAAAAGAAAAAAAACAGTAATGCTGATTCTTCAGTTTTTAACTTCCTTCTCCAATTTGCTTGGTTTTCTTCTTTAAGTGTACTCAGGAGTTATTTATTATATTGTGTCCACAGATTTTTCAGTTGTAATCTATAGGAGAGAGGAGCTGTAATAGACTCATTACTTCAGTTGTACTAGTCCAGTTGTTAGTTTCTGCTAACATATTCAATTCCTTTCATTTTTGTTCAAATATTTTGAAGCTGTGGTATTAGAGCATTGCCTTTTACAAGTATTATGCCTTCTTAATGAATTTACTGTTTTATCATTGTGAAATTTCTTTTTCCCTTGTTTTGAAGTGTAGCTTTTTCTCAACATTGGCACTCTAGTTTTCTTACAATTAATGTTTACATGATATATCTTTTTCTAAATTATTTTTAACTTTTAACAACACTGTTTCTTTACATTTAAATGCCTTTAAATGTGGTTTCTGAGTGCCTTCTTATAACATCAAACAACAATATGTCAGTTTTATAAAAGTTGATTTTTGAGCTGGGTGTGGTGGTGCACACCTCATAGCTCTCTGGGAGGCTGAAACAAGAGGATTTACAAATTTAACCTTACAGTTTGCAACTTAGCAAGACCACCCTGTTTTAAAAATATATGAGAAGAGGCTATGGATTGTAGGTCAGTGTGAAGGCCCTGGGTTTAGTCCTTCTTTAGCCCCCCCTTGTTTCTTTGTAGATAGCTTGCTGACAATCTCAGGTCTTTTAATTTGGGTTAGGCCGTGGTCAGCAAACTATTATCTGTGGCCAAAATCTTATCCCCTGCTTGTGTTTGGTGTAGTTTGCAAAGTAAGAGTGGAAAGTTATGTGAAATTCATATTTGAGTGACCATAAAAGAAATTTTGGATTTTGTAAACAATAACAAAAATATCCGAGGCAGTGCTGAGAATTGAGTCCAGAGCATCACCCATGTTAGGCAAGTGGTCTACCATTGAGCTATATCTTGTGGCCTGGTACTTTACTTTTAATGCAGTTTTTAGTAAGTTTGTATATAAGTATATCTGTCTTTTTGTTATGTGTTTTCTTTGTCCTTTTTGATTTCTGCCCCTCTTTTTTCAATAAGTTACTTATTTATAGTTAATATCTGTTTGCAATACATAATAATTACATTCATTTTAGAGAACTAGAGCATATACATATTTGGGGGTTGAATATTTTTTAATGTTTATTTTAGCTCTTTTACTGGTGTACTACACTAGCAATTAATTTTATTTTATTATTTTAGTAGTTGATCTGGAAGTTTATATACTGAGTTTTTAACATGTTGTAAGAATCTTCTGTTTTTTCCCTTGCAGACTTTATGATTTTATTGTCATTGTTTCACTTATACATATGTTACAAATTCTATAGAATACTGGTTTTTCTTTCCTTAACAAATCTGTAACACTTTGAAAAAAATTTTAAAGCAAGGGAAAAGTCTTTCTTTGTGTGTACTTTCTCCTGTTATTTTCCTTTAGTCTGAGGAACTTCCTTTAATACTCTTTTTTTTTCTTCTGTAATTTACAGTCTGCAGATACAGCCATCATGGGATTATTTCAGTTTACATCTTATATTCTTCAGGTCTAAAACTTTTGGTTCTTCTTTCCTTCATTGTTATCCTTGTTTTGTTAGATGTTTGTCTTAAATCCTTGGTCATATTTATAATAATTTAAAGGCCTATGTGCCAATTTTATTACTTTTCATTTTGGAACAATTTTCCTACTTTTATATTTGAAGTCCATAAAGTTATGGATTTGAGTTTGTACAGTATTTATTTCCTTAACCCCTCCTTTTAGGATTACAGTTACAGATATATCAGATGATTTAAGCTCTTTCTTCTATAATGCTTGTCAGTCACTGAAATATGATTTTACCACAGTACCTTGCAAATAACTTTTGGTACATAAATGCTTACAAAATTAACAAAAATGTGCAGTAACATATATGCATATAATCGCAAAACTAAATAATTAAGACATATTAATATTCAACCTTAAAATGACTTTTTTTTAGTTACTTCTTTTGAGATTTTTTACCTTGAATTGATTCAGAGGGGAGAAAAACATGCTTCAATGACAGAAGAACATGGTATATGGGATAGTTCATTTTAAACAGCTTTTGTTTCTCACCAGAAAGTTGGTGGCAAGGTTATTTTAATATAATATGTAGGAGTTGGAATGGGAAATTTTGTAATAGCTTTTGTTGAATTGTTTATTCAAATTCTATGAGAAGATCGGGCATGGTAGCTCATGCCTGTAATCTCAGCACTTGGGAGACTGAGACAGGAGTTTGAGGCCACACTGGTCTACATAGAGAGTTCAAGGCCAGCCTGAGCTATGTAGTGAGACCCTGTATCAAAACAGTGACATTAAAAACCCTAAAGGAAGAATCCTGGCAATGAGAAATTGAACATGCTGTAAGTATCTAGTTCAGGTGAGACAAGTATGCTTAATGTTGTGCAGTGTGTATGTGGGTAAAAAAGGAGAAGACTTGGAGATAAGGTGCATATGTATTTTAGGTGGGGCCAAAAGGAGAGAATGTTATACTATTGCCTAATAACATTCAAATAAACAGTTTTTAACCATAATTGATTCTTGCTGTACTTTGAGTTAAATGGAACAGGCCCCCCCTCACCAAATCCATTTTTGGGGAGTGGGTGGGGTTGGTTGAAGTTAATTGTAGACTCATTCATCAGAAACATTTATTCATTCATTCATTCATTCATTGGGTACCAGGGATTGAACTTGGGTCCTTGGGCTTGTGAGGCAGGTGGTAGAACCACTGAGCTACATCCTTGGCCCAAAAACAATTATTTTGAGGAAACAATTATTCTATTGGAGAGTACATCATTCATAGTAGCAAACCAGGAAAGAGAAAATAAAGACTTGACTTTAGTTGATGATATGAATTGTAACATTTTAACATTATTTACTTTTGTTTAGAAAGGTAGGTTGCTTAGTAACTGATTTACTTTTATTTAATTTTCATTATATTTAGGCTAATTAATGTTGTCTTTAATGTTTTTGTTTGAAGTATTTCTTTTTGAGCGTTTGGCAAAATTATACTGTGGAGTAGTTTTGCATTGACTTCTGAGTGTATCTTTTCTTTTTTTTCAGAAATTTCCACTCCCATACCATCTTCTCCAAGTGGAATAACTGAAGAAGATAGTGTTTTATTTAATAAACTGACCTACTTAGGATGCATGAAAGTTTCTTCCCCGCGTAATGAAGTGGAGGCTTTACGGGCAATGGCAACCATAAGGTCTTCTAGTCAGAACCCCTTTCCTGTTACTCTGTATGTGCCAAATGTTCCAGAAGGTTCTGTGAGGTAAGCTCTTATTTTCTTCTTCTGTAGACATGTATTAAATTTTTTGTGTGATGGTGAATATGTTATATCATAAATCAGATGTAGGACTCACTGTGAATTTACATATATCCTATAGCCATGCAAAGTAAACATATTTAGGCTTAACCTGTATTCCTGCTTGGCAGGAATATTTATGAAATTGTGCTTAGGGCATTATAGATAGAAATAAAATGCAAAAATACTTCTCTAATTTCTACTGTTCAGTTTGAACATAAAAGCATATCTTTAGTCTGTTTTGTAAAAGTGGCTAAAAAAACTAAAGAATTAGCTAAGTTCTAAGTACCTAGCTAATAGCAGTATACATTTTCAAAGTTTGGGTAAAAAGGCTTTGAGTTTTCAGGGAAGTATTTTTTTTTTTCAGCTTTAATTGAGTTTATTGGTACATTTTAGGGATACAGTACAGTTACATTCATTGTTGGGATCTTGTACCTCTACATGACAAGTCTTGATTCTCATTTTTTCCCCTTACCTCTGCCCTCCCTTCACCCCCTCCTCCCCTCCCCATCTACAAACACTTTATTCTTTTCATTCTCTCACATTTTTTTCTTTTCCCTTTTTACTCTTCCCCTACCCATCCCACCTTCCCTACACCTTTAGCTCCTTTCTTCCCATTTCTAAATGTCAGTAATCTTATTAGAATCTTATGCATTGTTGCAGATTATTTACACCAGGGAAACTATTCGGTATTTACACGTGTGACTTATTTATTTCACTTAGGAGTATATCTTCAATATGTATCCATTTTCCTATGAATGAATCTATTTTCTCGTTCTTTATGGCTGAGTAATATTCCATTTTATAGAAAAACCACAACTTCTTTATCCAGTTTCCAACGGATGGGCAAATAGGCTGTTTCCAAGATTTAGCTATTGCAAACTGTGCTGCTATAAACATGGGTGCACATACTTCTCTGTGATATGATTCTTTT